GACTTAGAACTTTTCGTAGCTACACTTTTTTCCCTCTTCCTCTGCTGGGCTGTAAATATAGGATGAATGTATGTTATGCTAATTGTGGTGAGCTCTGGCCCTATATTTTGTTGACTGTGATGGATGTATATATTAATTGAAAAGTAATATAAATATCATTGAGGTAAATTAATGATTCTGTTCCTCTTGTAGTTAAGACGAAAATGACAAAATGGTAAGAGGAAGACGAGGATCAAGAGGTAAGGGAACCAGTACGAGGGGAGAGTCGTTAAGAGCCCCTATTGACCCGATTGAAAGGATAATGGAACAATTAGAGGAATAGCAGAGAACTATGGCTGAGATACAAGCCACACAAGTGAGGCAAGAACAAGAAAGGGATGTTGCTATAGCTACAGCAGTAGCGGCAGCATTGGCACAGTTACAGCAACCCAGGTAAGGAATAACCAGGATAGCCTAGCCCACACCACCACAGCAACCACAGGACATAGCTCCTATAAGACCCCAACCCGCTACAGAACTTGATACACTATAGCAGTGGATTGTTAAGCTCGGCAAACACAACCCTCCTGCTTTTAAGGGAAACTTTGATGTGCAAGTAGCCGAGGACTGGATAACCTAGCTAGAAAAGATCTTTACTATTTTGGAATGTCTGTCTGAGAGAAAGGCTCAGATGGCAATATACAAGTTAGAAGGGGAAGCAGATAGATGGTGGAAGAACACCGAGCTGGTCCTCCAAGCTAATGAAACCCCAGTCACGTAAGAAGTGTTCAAGGACCAGTTTTTCCTAAAATACTTTCCCCGATCTGTAAGGGATAAGAAAGAAGTGGAGTTCCTACTATAAAGCAAGCTACAAATGAACCTTTCGATGAGTACTTAGCAAGGTACATTAAGTTATCCAGGTACTCCACTTATCTCTAGCACATGAATGATGAATGTTGGTTTACGAAGAAGATGATGTTAGGATTAAGGTTTTGATGATAACAAAGTAAGTAATTTGTGTTTCAGTATGTTGATCGATCATCTGATCGATCAAGGATTTATCGATAAGCTGATAGATAATATCTCTGTTCAATAAAGTAACTTAGTAGAAACTTTGATTGATAACTTGTTAGATAATGTGTTGATCGATCAATTGATCGATCATTGTTAACTTAGTTGTGTATGAAAGTCTGGAGTAAATTATCGATCACTTGATCGATAATCAGGATGATCGAATATTAGGATACAAATCTGATAGGTAATTATCGATCAAATGATCGATAAATAGATTATCGATGAGAAGACAGATAAATGGTAATGCGCACTACTCATTCTATGTTTTGCTTTAGTCGCCATTTATCGATCACATTATCGATCAGCCATTTATCGATAATATGATCGAACATTGTTTCATAACTCTGCGTGCAGGTATTGATTTTAGTAGCTTATCGATCACCTGATCAATCAGTAAATTATCGATAACATGATCGATAATCAGCACATCGTTTTTAAACCATGATTCTTTGATCACGAAATCAATAATCTCATTATCGATAATATGATCGATCACTGCACTTCATGTTTACCTTGTTTTCACATAACATAATCGATAAATCAGCTCTTTGATTTTACAAGAATAAACCTCTTTATCGATAACATTATCGATCAACCATTTATCGATCACCTATTAGATCAACCTACATAGCTTGTGTTTTCACTAAATATACTTTTGCTTATTGTTTATCGATAAGGTTATCTATCATCTATTTATTGATAATGTGTTCAAAACTTAATGCCTCAAAATTTATTTCTATAACACTTTGATTATCGATAACCTAATCGATCAACAAGTGTTCGATCACTTGTTCGATCATGAGGCGATTTCAGTTTAAACTTTAACTAGTCTCGATGTTTCTCAAAATTTATCATCTATTTCATTCAAGATTTTCTCAGCCTTCATAAATGTCTTAATTCACTATTTAAAGAATTTCAAAATCAAAAGTGACCTTGATCTTCTTTTTCTATGTATACAGTATGATGTCACTATTTCCTTTTATCGATCACTTGATCGATAAATCATTGATCCATCACTTGATCAATAAACTTAGTTATCTGTTTCAAAAGCTTTTACTCTGAATAATCGATAACCTGATCGATCAAGCAGTAATCGATCATCACTTCGATCAAGCACGATCAGTTATTACTCAGCACATTTAACAACTGATTGATTCTAACCGTAAACTATGAATGTTCATTTTATCATTTGTTCGGTTCTACTTTTGATCTTACTCTGCAAAGAAAAACTTATTGAATCAATGTATTTTTGCAGATTATGAAGAAAAACCCAACAGCTCTCCAACGGTTGTCCAAGTAGCCTGTAACCTACTTTGTCAGAAGCATTAATGGCGGAAACCGTTGCAACTAGGAAAACACGCAACCGGACTCTCAACGACTAGAAGCTCTTCCGTTTAACGGTTACTAAACTACCTCAACTATAAAAGGTGTGAAGAAGCATTAAATGAACAGATTGAATACGCGAGCTACCCTCTGTTGATTATTTACTGTTGCATTTAATACTCTATTATTTCATAACACCGAGTGTCAGTGATTATCATTTATTCACTCTGTAAGAGAGTTTACATTTTTATCATTAATCACGTCTTGTGTGATACTCAAGAGTGTGGACTCTTGAGTGGGTTTGTAACATTACAGGAAGTAAGGGGGAGTGATTGAGAGTATCAATTACTGTACTGAGGCGCCAAGAGTCCGATTAATCTTAGAACATAGTGGAATACTTAGAGGTGTTCTAAGAACTGGATGTAGGTCAAGTGGTTGAGACTGAACCAGTATAAATCCTGTGTCTTCCTTTCTATGGTGAAATCTTTCTAACGTACACTCTCTGTTTCTGATAGTTCATTGTTTTAATTTTGTAAAATTTTTATAACTCACCCAATTCACCCCCTCTTAGGTGAGACTGCCACTAATAGATGATCAAGGGACTGAAGCCAGAGTTGAGAGAGAAAATGGCCCCAAGATAGATGGAAGTTTTTAATAAGACAGTGGAAGTCTGCTGTATTACTGAGAATAGCTAGAATCATGCTAAGCTAGCTAGAGCAACCCAGCTAGCCAAGAAGCTAGGGGCAAGAACAGGTCAGGAAGGTACTTCTTTCTATGGTAGTCAGAAAAGAAAGAGATTTAATTGGAGCAGGAGGTTGAGGCGGGGAGCCTGACGAGGAGGTACAGAGAATATCCACTAGGGAGCAGAGAATGTTCGCCAAGAAAGGGAAAGCGAGTGTTGTGGCCGCAATCACAAAGATAGGTTGTGCATGATGGGTCAGAACGTGTGCTTCAGATGCCGACAACTTGGACACTTTGCCAAGGAGTACCCGCAAGGTGCCGGCACAGGGAGACCTTAGGCTTAGGGCAGGAGGGTGTTTGTCCTCAATTGGGAAGAGGCTTGTAAGTCACCCGAGATGATCCAAGGTATGGTCACTATAAATGGATACCTTGTGGATGCTTTGTTTGACTCAGCTGTCAGCCACTCGTTTATATCGTATGATTGCGCATGCTGCTTAGGTCTTGCTGTCAATACATTGATGTATGATTTGTGCGTTTCCACTCCCGCCAGAACAAAAATTTTAACTTCAGCTGTTTGTTTAAACTGTGTTGTCCAGTATGCCCACTGTTGCAGTACGTTAGACCTAATATGCATGCCTTTCTGTGATATTGATATTGTCCTTGGTTTGAACTAGTTGTCCTCCCAAAATGTCCTCCTTGACTGTAAAAACAAAACACTGATCCTTCCTACCTAAGAGTTAACTCTTATGGCAGAAGTGAAATTGAACGTGATTTCAGCGGCTTAAGCAAATAAATGGTTTAGGGAGGGTTGCCAAGGTTATTTGGTGTTCTTCTCAGTGAAGACAGAAACAGAAAAAGGAATTTCAGATATTCCAATAGTCCGAGAATTCCCTGAAGTATTTTTGACAGAGATTAGCAAATTACCCCTTGAAAGGGAGATTGAATTTGCTATTGACCTGTTGCATGGAATGAATCCAATTTCAAAGACTCCGTATCGAATGACTCAGAATGAGATGACAAAACTAAAAGAGCAGCTAGAGGAGCTTCTAGAGAAAGGGTTTATACAGCCCATCCTCGTGGGGTACACCAGTATTGTTTGTGAAGAAGAAGGACGGTAGCCTGAGATTATGCATAGACTATTGCGAATTGAATAAAGTAACAACTAAGAATAAGTATCTGTTACTAGATCAACAGATCGAAGATTGATTTAAGATTAGGGTACCATCAATTGAGGATCAAGGTAGAAGATATCGCGAAGACTGCCTTCCAAACAAGGTATGGACATTACGAGTTTCTAGTGATGCCATTCGGATTGACAAACACACCTGCTATATTCATGGATTACATGAATAGGATCTTCCAGCCATACTTGGATCAATTTGTAGTAGTGTTCATTGATGACATCTTGGTGTATTTGAAAACACTAGAGGAACACGAACAGCATTTGCGGATTGTATTAGGCATGTTGCGGGAAAAGTAGCTGTATGCTAAATTGAGCAAATGTGAGTTCTAGCTAAATGAGGTAACGTTCTTGGGTCACGTAATTACCTGAGATGGAGTAGTAGTGGACCCAAGTAAGATAGAAGCTGTGTTGAATTGGGAACAGCCCAAGATGGTAACCGACGTAAGAAGCTTTTTGGGACTGGCAGGGTACTACAGAAGGTTTATACGGGATTTCTCCTGAAACATCCTACCTTTAACCCCTCAGAGTATGCATTTGGAAGCGTTATGGTTCAAGCAGATCAGGAAACAAGCTTGCAGATGGTAAAATTGCGGCAAAACTAAAGCTTTTCCCAAAACTTTTAGTCCGACTTGGCACCTTCAAGTCGCGGCTTGGCACCTCCAGGTCGCGACTTGAGTCCACAGAATGTCCGGGTTGTGACTTAGTACTTCCAAGTCATGACTTAAAGTCACAGTGGCCTTTTTTGCTTCCAGGTCATGACCTCAACTTCCCAGGTTGTGACCTGGGGTCACAAAGAGCTTTCGGGTACTATTCACTAAGTATTTTTCAGATTACAAGTCTAACTTCGGGAGGGCATAACTCTTAGCACACACATTCATTTTAAGTGATCTACCACTTGTTTTAAAGCTTGGGATGTGTACTTTAATCATGTCAAATTTCTTTGGCAAAATCAATCATTTGCCTCACTTCCACTTTGCCAATATTTTGTTGCTCAATTAGGGATAGTTTATCCCGTTAACTTGTACTAGCAGTTCACGGTTAAGTCTTTCCATACGTAATACCATTACATTCATACATAAACCATTCTCATATATTTTCATAGCCAATTACACAAGCCAACATCATCATTTATCATCACATACCATCAATAGCACATTTACAACATACATTGGTATACAAAGGATACAACGTAATGTAATTTATTTCTTGAATTCTTTTCCTCTCTTTCTTGCTCCACTTCTTGATTTCTTCTTCCATCCTCTTGCACCTAGTATGATTGGTTATGGGAGGGTGAGATTCAAGAGAATCTTAGTAGTAAACATTACTATCAATGCATGTAAGATGGATGCAAGTGTATGCCATGCTTTTGTGCACATAACTTTATCGTTCATATATGGTGAAATACCATAGAAAGTAAGCTAGTTCATTCATATTCACATAACACAATGCCAAGGCGTGCTTAACATAAACATAGCAATCATAATTCAGCAGCATAGCTTAGTCACATAATGGCATTCATAGCACATACACACATACACATCAAGCACACAAGAAAGGTAAGTTCGCTACCTTGCATCATAAGTTTTCTCTTGCTCTTCAACTTGCTCCTTTTTGCTTCCAACCATTAAGGTTGCTTGCTGCACCACATCTAAACCTTCTCTTGAATGCCTCAAGGTCTAATCACAGCCACAAGGGTCACATAACTCATTAGGACCAAGAATTACACAATATGGAAGGCTTATGTCCTTAAACTTAATCCCTTTTTTCTTAATTTATAATGTAGTGTTTTAGCTTTGTAAAAATTGTTCCCTTAGGCCAATCCTACACAATTTTGCCCAAAAAATCCAAATATAAGCTTAGATTCATCAAAATCCAGCTCCTTCCCTTAGTCCTAGGCCAAAACCGAAATCTACCACTTAATTTCTAGTTTTGATTCCAATACTACACAAATTTTCATTTTAAACACATTGGGAGTATCAAAATCATCAAAATCAGATCCTAGGTACAAGAACCTAGTCTGGTCGAAACATTTTCTCAAGTTACACAATCATGAAATTCAACCAATTTCAGCATAAAACCACTTGATTCTTGTTTCTTTCAAGCCTTTAAACATTATTCTAACATCAATTTCATCTTCCCTCACACTTAACAATTTTGTGTAGCATGCCCTCCAAGGGTTCCAAGCTCCCAAAAACTATTAAAATCCATAACCAAGCTCAACAACAACAAGGATAGTGAAAACTACATCAAAAACCATGAACATATCTTGTTTTGGAGCTTGATCTTGCATATGACTACTTGGCCTTTCTTTCTCTAGAATCCATTTTGCAAGAGTTTCCTCATAGGTCCATGGCTTGCACGAAAATGAGGGGTGGGAAGGGGGTATTTATAGAAAACAAGACTGAATCTGAAAAGTTGATCTTAAAAATATGTGGCTTGATTTGGGCCGTCCATTTTCTCTTTTAATCTTGTGGTGACAAGTGTCCCATGACATCATGCTTACATCATCAATCCACATGCTTTTAATCTAACCATACACGTGTATTGCATCCGACAGTACAAGCGTCTTGCATCCAGTAGTACACGTAATACCTTCTTTTCCCATCTAACCGTACACTTTTCTCCTCCATATTTCTTCATCATTTGATTAAAATAGGGAGGAAATTAATATAAAATTCGTGTAAAATACAACCCATAGGTATTCCTCCACCTATCTTGCCATTCCGCACTGTATAGGGTACTTTTTCAGGCCCTGACTTACCCAGGACCACTGGGACATATTCTGGCACCATTTTCTCACCTCAAATAAATCCACATGGCATTATATGACATGCCTAAAGAGAAAGTGATGTTCTTCCCTTGTTCTTTCATTAAAATAATTAAAATAATTGATAATATTTATTTTGGAGTGATCTTGACCGAATTCTTTCTACCGATCCACAACTCCAAGAATCTATCTCTAAGTACCAATACAATTTATTCATCACAGGGAATTCCTCTAATTTTTCTTAAGTCAAAAGTCAACCTCTAGACATTTGACTTTGACTTTACCCGGATAGTGTATAAACAGGCTTTAAGTTCTATTAAAACTAACCTCTTCGCTTTCTGGGGACGGAATTATTTTTAAAACCTGTGATAATTCCTCAAGCATTTCCCCCATTTTCTTCCAATTATCTGAGGCCTCTTTATACTTTGAATAATTTATTTTCAATAATATTCAAAATTAGTCAAAACCTGGGAATTTTACAAATTCCTTTCAAGGGCAATTTCGTCATTTTTAGCCTCATACAGGCCTCTAAACCTTATTCCTATTTTTCTGGATTTTTCCTGAAGTGTTTAGGCCTTCACCTACCATTTCCCATTTTCAGGGATTTTTCAGGGATTTTCAGGCATAATTTCCATTTTTGCCCTTACCAACCCAAAACTCTGTAAAATTACAATTTTGCTCCTGGTTTAGCTTAACCTCAAAATTCACCTCATTAAGGCCTTTAACATAACTATTGGCCTACATTCATCTCTATTTATTATTCTTGGGCCTCAAGAATTCACTAGAGTCTCTAACTTTCTCTTTTCTCAGTCCTAGAAAACTTTCCTTTTGCGATTTAGTCCTTGAGAATCCCTCTATCCTTTCAGGGAATCTTTGGGACCTTTACCAAAAGGGTTCTGGTAGGTTACCCATTTCAAGCTAATTCTGGTACTTCTAGGCCTAAAAGTCAGGATGTTACCTCTACCAGATTGCTCTACCACTGACCAAGCTCAATCAAAAGAATCATTGTTCGATTAGGATGCTAAATGTGAGGCTAGCTTCCAAGAGTTGAAGCAGAAATTGACCTCAACTCTCGTGCTGATAATCCTCGATCCTATGTTGCCATATGTGGTGTATACAACTATGAGTAAGCAAGGATTGGGATGTGTGCTGATGCAATAGGGTTGAGTAGTTGCTTATGCCTCACAATAGTTAAAGACCCATGAGGAGAACTATCCCACGCACGACCTTAAGCTGGCAGCGATTGTATATGCCTTGAAGATCTGGAGGCACTATCTGTATGGGGCAACCATTAAATTGTACTTTATCCATAAGAGCCTCAAGTACTTGCAGGACCAGAAGGAACTCAACATGAGACAGAGAAGATGGATGGAATTGCTTAAGGATTACGATTATCAAATTAAATACCATCTAGGGAAAGCAAATGTGGTAGCAGATGCATTAAGTCGAAAGACAGTGCAGGTGGCATCGTTGATGATAAAGGAACAAGAGCTGATTGAGAATATCTAAGATTGGGATCTTACCGGCCAAATACGACTAATGGTGGGCCAAATTGGTATTGCGAAAGCGGAAGCACAAATCATTAAACAAATAAAAGAGGCCCAACAGAGAGATCAATTGGCTGATATTCTGAAAGTCAAGGTGCTAAGAAAGGAGATGAGGGAATTTGGATAACTCAAGAAGGGGTCTTGAAGTATAAGGGAAGAACTTATATTCCCTCGAACTCAGAGATTAAGGAGCAAATCCTAGAGGAGGCACACAAGAGTTGGTACACCATACATTCAGATATGACCAAGATGTATCGAGATCTTAAAGAATCATTCTGGTGGCCTGGTATGAAAAAGGATGTGACAGACTATGTGTCAAGGTGCCTCACTTGCCAAAAAGTAAAGACGGAGCACCAAAAGCCATCAGGATCCCTACAACTATTGAGTATTCTAGAATGGAAATGGGATAGTATTTCCATGGATTTCGTAATGGGATTACCTCATACATCGTCAGGTTGTAACGCGATATGGGTGATTATGGATCGCTTGACAAAGTCATCTCATTTCTTGGCCATCAAGAAAGAGTATCAGCCAGAGAAATTGGCACAGATATACATATGAGAAATTGTGAGGTTGCACGGAATACCCGAAGCGATCGTATCCGATAGGGACCCACGGTTTCTCCCTAGATTTTAGAAAGCACTACAGGAAGCCATGGGCATTAAGCTAAGCTTTAGTATGGCTTATCATCCTCAAATGGACGGGTAGATAGAATGCACTATTCAGACATTAGAGGATATGCTAAGAGCTTGTGCCTTAGATTTTAAGGGGAGCTGGGATGAGCACTTACTGTTGGCTGAGTTCGCTTATAACAACAGCTACAATTCTAGTATCCAGATGGCTCCTTATGAAGCATTGTATGGAAAGAAGTGTAAGTCCTCGTTGTGTTAGACCGAATTGGGAGAAAGAAAGGTGTTTGGTCCTGATTTGGTAGAGCAAACCTCACAACAAATCAAGGTGATCTAACAGAAGCTGCTTATGGCGCAAAGTAGACAGAAGAGTTATGCTGACATGCGAAGAAGGCCTCTAGAGTTCAAAGTTGGAGATCATGTTTTTCTGAAGGTTTCTCCAACTATGGGTGTAGGAAGATCGATCGAGGCCCTTAAATTGACACTGAAATTCATCAGATCCTTCCAAATCTCGTCAAGAGTTGGCCCAGTGTCTTACAGATTGACCCTGCCCCTTAATTTGAGCCAGATTCATAACATTTTCCATGTTTCTCAGTTGAAAAAATATCAGCCGAATCCCTCACATGTCTTGAAATACGAAGACATGGAGCTGCGAGATAACCTCACCTTTGAGGTGAAACTAGTGAAAGTGATAGATCGACAGATCAAGCAACTGTGGAATAAGGCTATTTCGATGGTCAAAGTCATCAGGAGGGATCAAACTCAGGAAGAAGCCATGTGGGAGAAGGAAGATGACATGAAGATCAGATACCTAGAACTATTTAAATAAGGTATGTTTCTAAATTTTGAGGACGAAATTTATTTAAAGGGAGGAGGAATTGTCACATCCCGAGAAATTTTATTTGGACAGAGGAAATTTAAAATTGAGATGAGGGCCAATGTAGAAACTGGACGAGGAGACGAAACAACTTTTGATGTGAAACCTCGATAAGGTCTAGGTTGGCATTTTCATAATTATCAGTCTAGGAAGGGCAAAACGGGAAAATTTGAGAAAAATTCTAAAAATTCCCAAAAAATGGAAAAAATACAAATATTATTCAATATTAGAACTTAATTAGTCAATATTTTATGTTTTTATTGTGGTATTCTTCTATCAGAGTATGGGTTTACACATGGGTAGAGCTCAAAGATTATTTGTTTTCGAATGGAGTTAAGAGAAAATTACAATAAGGTCACAATTAAGAATTAAATATAAAAAAGTTTCTTGAAATCATCAAATTAGTATGAAGTCTCAAGGGACCTCATTACAAGAAATTCCACTTGTTTAATTATTAAACTAACCTTATCTTTTTTTAATGTGCATTGACAATTGAAAGAACGATCGTTAACAACTTAAGGCGTAATGATTAACAAATACTGTGGCAGGCATTAATAACACATTTTATCAATGCGTCACAAAAATATAATGCATGAGTTGTCAATACCTGCCGCGGTAGTTGTCACATCCCAAGAAATTTCATCTGGAGATAGGGAATTAAAAATTAGAATGAGGGCCAATGTAGAAACTAGGCGGGGAGATGAAGCAACTTTTGATGTGAAACCTCAATAAGGTCCGGGCTGGCATTTTCGTAATTATTAGTCTAAGAAGGGCAAAACAGAAAAATTTGAGAAACATTCTAAAAATTCCTGAAAAATAGAAAAAATACAAATTAGAGGTTTTGAAACCTCATTTGAGACCCAAAAGATGAAATTATTGTGAAAATAAATTGATATGGGATTTTCCGTAGATAGAGGTTTTTTGGAAAAATATTAGAAAATAGGAGGAAAATAATTGTGTTAATTAGTTAGAGGCCTCAATAAATTTTGAAAAAAGATGGATAAATCATGTAAATATTTATTTGAATTTATAAAATTGGTTTTAAACCTTGGAAGCTCAGGAATTAATTTTAGAGAATTTATTTCCTCACAGTGACACCGATAGATGTCTAATCAGAGAAAATTCAAAATAAATACCTAGAGGTGGTCAAAAATTCTGAAAATTTTCAGATGATGTTTTTATATTAAAAGGTGAATTATCATAGAGAGAAATAAATTTTTGGAGGTCTAGAAAAATTATGGAATGTTACTAGTGAATAGTAACTAATAAAATTTCAAATTGGTTTGGGATTTTGATTTGGAATGTGGGCCATCTTTTGGGGCCAGCCCAGGTCATTTGAGGGGCCCACATTGAGCCCAATACGAGCCCAATTTTGTTGCTTTCTGGCTACTCTACATAATTAATTAAATAAAATGTAAAATTAAGGGATAATTGTTGGAAAAGTCTAGAATTTCGACTTAGATTAATCTGATTAATTTTGCTCTAAATGGCTGCCACATACCCCCTATGAGGTGTCCCATTTTCAACCAACAAGAGGGGGGAGGGGCTGGTTACCATTTTCTATAAATACCTCCTCCTAAAATACCCAAAAAAAAGTGGGAAAAGTAGGAAAATAAGGGGAGGTTCTGTCACTTTGGTTCCAGCTCTAGTTAACCAAAAATCTTGAGCTATTTAGGCAAGGAATCACTCATTTTTTATCAAGAGAACATCAAGGCACGTTTAAGCATCCTTATTCCTAAATTTCAAGCTTTGTTAGTAAGAGTTTTTGGCTTGAAAAATTAAGAAAAATGCTGCCAAATTTTTGTTGGACCATGTGATGTTTAGGAAAGGATAGAAACCTTAAATACCAAGTGGAATAAGATTAAGCAGTGTATGGTTTTGTTTATGGAAGAAAATACACCTAGGATTCTATATGCTCAATTCGACCAGTTATTGTTCATGAGCAGGAAATTGTTTTAGTTTGATTTGATGATTTCAATGGGTTTAAAACATGTTTTTGTATAGGAGTATACTATTGGGAAGTGCTTAAAATCATTGGAATCAAAATGAAATTTTTGGAAGGTTATACGCAATATTCGGCCAAGATGAATTCATGGAGAAGAAGTTTGATTTTCAACAATATGATTCCATATTTGAATTGCTCATGAAAAATTGTGCAAGAATGAGTCATGAGATTATTGATTCTAAAGGAAGAAAAATCAAAGAAAAAAGGGAAAATTGTTAAGTTAAAGATAAAGTGCTATGTTTAAGTTGTTTGGTTATTAATATAGCCTATGTTATGCTTGAATAAATAGGTTTTGTGAGGAGGAACCAAGGAGAATCATTGTCCCTTGAGGTGACCAAGTTCACCAAGTGATAAAAGGTAACTTTAAATTATAATTTGATTGTATATCTTGCTTGTTTAATGTGATTTGTTATTTGCTTGGATTGAGGAACTTGTATTGTGACCTTGATTAGTTGGATACCCTTGGTTTATATTTTGACCAAGTGCATTGAATTGTGTTAATGTGGAAGTGTTGATGTTCTTCTCCTAGCATGAGACTAAGCATGATTTTATGTGACTTGAGGATGTCTTGAAGTTTATAACATCTCATATTGTAACTTGCTTGATTTGCATGATAATTGTAATTCAAATGCCACTGAGATTTCTTTGAAATCTCCCTCCTCCTATGTTAAATTATGTTTTAAATAGGAAATGGCTCCTCTATGGATCAAGGCAGAAAATTGGTGCTAGGATGAAGGGGTTTTGTGAATGTTATATTATTGTGGAATGTTATGTAATTTGCTAACACACTTTATGTTGAGTTTGTAATGAATTATGAATGGTAATATGTGGTAAACTATATTTGTATGACTTGCTCAAGTGCTGGAATATTGGATGGTACAATGTAAAGGATGAGGAAAAGGAAAACGGGAAATAAAATTTAAGAAAGAGGTAGTTAGGGGAAAAAATTGCCTAAGTTAGGGGCAAATTTGTAACACAAAATAATAAGCAAATGATAGAATCTGGACCTCAGATTTTACAAGCAAATAGATGTCATTTTTAGATTTAAATAAACTGGTAAAGCATCTAATTGGGAGTTGTGTGCTAAGAGTTATGCCCTTTCAAAGTTGGACTAAAATTCTCAAAATTCAAAAATTGACCATATGAACAGTGCACTTTGACGAATATACTAGTGCTGTTCTGGATGGAGTCAAGTCCAATGAATATTTTTTCTCTATAGAACTCTTAACAAGCTTCACATGAAAATTGAAACCATCTCATTTCAATTTTTCTAGAATTAATTATGAATTTTCAAAGTTGACCCAAATTCAAATGAACAGTGTACGGACATAATAAAGTGTGAAATTTTGAAATTAAAATTTTTCACTCAAAAATGTTTGAAAATATGTTATAATGGTTCCAATTGATGTTTAATGGGGTAATAAAGGCGGTGTTACAGTAGTTGTTAATTGTTACGTCTTGAGTTGTTAATGACTATTTTTTCAGTTATAAATGCATACTTGAAAAAAAAGAAGAAAAAGATAAGGGCAAGTTAATAGTTAAACAAGTAGAATTTTTTGTAATAAGGTCTTTTGGGACTTCAAATTAATTTGATAATTTTAAAGAACTTTTTTGTATTTAATTGTCTTAAGTGGGATCTTATTACAATTTTCTCTGAAGTTAATGAGTTCAACATTAACTCACACGTGTTTATCTACTCCCCTTTGGGTTATATTAAGGTAAAAACTAACAAAAATCTCTTTCAGATTTCACAGCATTAAATCAATTCAAACAATGAATGAAAGTACTCCTAAATAGAGTAAATTAACTTCTTACCACTGAAGGATTGAAAAAATTGTTATCAAACTCACAAGTCAACTCACTAAATTTACTAAGTTTGAGTTTATGTTGACATAAGAAAATTGAGTCAACTCATTTACAAACTCACTCTAGACATAAACTTGGTCAAACTTAGTTTTAATTCTATAAACTTGTCATTTCAAGACCGAATTGGGTGAATTGAGCGAGTTAGAAATTGGAATAACAAGATTCAAAACTCATCTAACAAATAGACTAAATATACAAGATAATATAAAATTAAAAGAAAATAAATATTATTAAAATAAGTTGTCCTATTTTGAAGTGGTAGACTCCACCATTTTTCTTAAGTACACACCTTTTATTTTTCTTCTTCACCTATAGCTATGTGCCCTTGCTTGGTTGTCTTCAATTTAAGACGAACACAAAAAGAGGAAGAAGAAAGAATTAAGACCAGAAAAAAGGAGAGAAAGCAACCCAACGTGAAGGTTGAAGGCATGTTTAAGAGTAAAGTCTTTTTTCGTCCAAAAGAGTAAAGACTAAATCTTTTGAGTTTTGCCCTTTTTTCTGACTTTCTTTGGTCTGTGCTTCTACTAGCTTGATGACTAATGTTATCACAACCCAAAATTCTGAGTCGTGATCAGCACATAGACTAGGTCAAAATAATAGAAAGCGTAAACAAATTTATACAAATCAGCCTCTTCAAAACAATGATACTTCGACACCATCATCATAGTAGTCATGACGTCACAGGATCCCACATGATACACCCCTCCAGCATAATTTATTCCATAAGCCTATGAAGGCTAAGTGATTACAACTATTTTTAATAGCTATACTATCTAAAAAAATAAAGAGAGGGGTGAGTCTACCATTGATTCAATGAGAACATAAATAACAAAGTGCGTGAAAGGGAAGCAAAAGCACACAAAAGTTTTTCGCAAATGATTTTCATTAGAATAGAAAAATATCACAATATTCAAATGTGATAGAAAATTTTACACAATAAAAAGAATACAAATTTTCTCAATCTTCATTCACAAAATAGACAATTAAGTACCAATCATCAAACATTTGATCACAATAACCTTTCAATCAATATCCAGCACAATCATGGGGGGGAAATAAACACCCCTTTTATAGATATAAA